TCCGAAATACATTATAATTTATAAAACCTATTTGGTAGGTTTATATAAGACTGTGCTGTACTTTATTTAACCAATCCCTTTTAGATAGATGTGAAGATTATCTCTGTTATTAACAAATTGCAGTGTATAATCTTATTTATACTTTGCTCAGCTCAATTTATTTCTAAAGTTATATTCCTACTGCCTGACTACAGTTCCACATATGTGCACATTTTTAATTTTTTGTAGAAAGTTTTTATACCAAATTATGAGAAGGCTGGTTTACTCACCTTTACCAGCACTGTTTGATATTTGCCAGTATAAGTGGTATCTCATTCTTTTAAGTTAGCATTTCCTCAATTACAGTAAACTTTAAAAACATATTTATAAAGGCAAAGAACTTCTAAATAAGTAAATTAATTAATTAGTCCAAGAAAAATAATAATGATAATTTTAATATTGTTAGAATCAAGGGATAATGAAAACATATATCCAGCTAAACTCACACCTAAAGCACTGGGTTATAATCACCTTAAATGTTCATACAAGAAAAGAGAAAAAGTTAAAAACATAGTATTAAGCATTCAACTGAAATACTTTCCAATATAAGAAATTAGAGAAAGAATAGAATAAATCTGTAGATAGAAGAAAATTATGAACATAGGCAAAAAATTTAATAGAGAGGATCAATAGTTTATTCTTTGAAGAAACTTACCAAGTAGAAAAACCTTTCAGTAAGATTCATGAGGGGGGGAAAAAGGCAGGGATAAGTGATACTAGAATGAAAGGGGATAAGTATGCTACAGCAGAGATTTTTAAAGATATTAAGAAAAATCATGAAGAATTTTATGCCCAGTAAATTAAAAAATTTAGAAGAAATGGAAAATTTCTTAGGAAAATTTAATTGAGAAAAACTGACTCAAGAAGAAGTAGAAGACATCAATGTCTTAACTCTTAAAGAAATTGGATTAGTCTTTTAAAATCCATCAAGCAGACAAACGAGAAACAGGTCCAAACAATTTTTAGATAAGGTCTTCTGAACTATCTTCTAGAGAATTAAAAAAAAAAAAGAAAGAAAGAAAAAGAAACCACCCTAACTCGTTTAATGAGTCTAGTATGACCTTGATACTCAAACCAGATAAGGACAGTACAAAAAAGGAATATGATAGGCCAATTCTTCTTACGAGCATAGATGTATCAATCCTAAATGAAATATTAGCAAACCAGATTCATCAATATATTTTTTAAAAATCATGACTTAATTGGGTATAGGAATATAGTATACTTGTATATGTAATTAGTTTAAGAGAAATGTATGAAAATTATAAAACGCCAATCGAGAGTAAAGATTTTTCTCTGGAGAGGAGGATGAGCATGTGATTTGGGAGAAGTGCATCAGTTGTATTGTAATGTTTATTTTTTTAGGCTGAATGGTGGGTACATAGATGTTAATTGTGGTATTACTTTTACCCTTTTGTATAATATTTCATACTATAAAGCTATTGTTAGCAGGCTTAACAGCTTTGTGAGTTAGAAATGTCACTTTCCAATACTGTATTTTTAATGGCGTTGCTTAAACACATTCCCCTTCGAGCTGTACAAACCAGCAAAACAAATTATGTATAAATCACCATGAAATATAATAAACTATACTACATTTGCATTTTCATGGATATTTTGTTAAAGGGCTTGTAGGGAAGAAAAAGACTATTAGCTCTTTTTTGTATTCAGATGAAAATAAGAAGTAAAGTTTCAGCCTTGTTAAAGAGTTTTTTTGATGCCTAGAATTAAAAGAAATAGTTTGGAGTTCTAGGTAGATGAGAAGTTTAATATTGACAAGAGGTATTTTATAGCACTCAGTCACCAAATAATAATTGAATATTACTATCTGCCAAACATGGTGTTAAGCCGTGGAAATGTATAGAGCTTTGAGACATAGTCTTTGATCTCAAGAATCTTAGAATTTAGTAGGAGAAATAGATGATCCACATGTTTAATTATAGGTGCCGTAATAGTCATAAGCAATTTGGAATATTTCTTCCCCAGTGGGAATTAGTTTCCACTCTTTCCTGTAGCAGCTTTGTTATTTTTTGTTGTTTTAATTTAAACTAAGTTATACATGTATGTTTTCAGAAATAACTTAAGCTTTTGAACTACTAATATTTACTCAGGTAGACCTTTTTTACCCATTGATAAATTATTTAACTACACTTAAAACTAGAAGGGATCTGATAGGCCATCAGATACTTTGTAGAAATTGACATTTGTCTGTTTCACTGGATTGCCATTCTAGTTATCCTGTTTAAAGGGAATATAATATGTTCAGCTATAAGAAGTGAATCTTTGTTAATATCCAGTACCATTCTCATGTTCTACAAGATAGATAAACTGATTGCAAGTGAGTCTTTTTTCATACTTCAAATAATGTGGGGTCTTTCATGTAGGGTGCCTCTTTTTTGAAGTACTGACTTTTTCATATTGTATCTTTGATTGGAAACTTTTTAGAAAGGCAGTAGTATTTTCTGAGCCTGCTTGCCAGGTTTCTCATCTAAAATATGAACACTTAACTTATGATGAAGTATTCCCATGACCTCATCTTTAGAATTTAAGTTGCCAAAATGTAGAAGTAATTGTTAATTTTGTATTAATTTCAAGGCTTCTTTACATTTACAAAAATTTGCTTTACTTTTCTTTATTGACTTATTTTTACCATATGTATTGTCCTTGTATTGTCCCCTCAAGGAATTCAGTAGTTTGGAACTCAGAGTAGCTAAGTCTGAGTCAATTTGTTTTAGCCTGTTTGATGTTAAAAACAAACAAAAAACTGTCATGAAACAGAATTTGACATAGGTTCTTCATACGAAGTTTCTCCTTAAATAGTTGTTTTTTGTAGCTTATCCTCGAGGAATGTATAGTAGTTAGGATCTACTAACTTCCCATAACAAAAATCCAGCATAAGAATTGTTTTTTCTTTCACACTCGTGAGATCTAGAATTAGGAAGTGCAGGGATAATAAGGAGCTTCTCAGCTTCTTATAGTTCTACCATCCTCGGCTCATTGTCTCTTGGTCCCAAATGGCTACTTGAGTTCTAGCACTCAGGTCCAAACTCCAGGCAGCAAGACTGAAGAAGGGTAGAAAGGCAAAAGGAGTTCTTGCTGGCTTAGTTGGTCACTCTAAGCAGATTTCTCAGAAGACACATAACCATTTCATTTTACATTTCATTGACCAGAACATAGTCATGTGGCCACTTGGCTATACCTGTTGCCAGGGAGCCTGAAAACTGTAGTATTTTATTTCTGCCACAGTGTTCCCAGCTAGACATCTGTGTTCTCTCTGGTTATTATGAAGGAAGAGTGGAATGGATGTTGGGGAAAGCAACTAGGAGTCTCTACCTCATAGTAATTTCACAATTTTTAGAGGAAAATAGCAGAAAATCTGGTGGTGTCCATGTGGCTCAATAACTGGGCTATACTATAATCATGAGAAGTGATGCTAAGAAATCTCTGATCTCTTGTTTTGAATTTATTTCCCTGATAATCACTATCATTATTGTGTTATTATTTCCCAGATATATGTGCTAAGTATTTTTCATACATTATTTTATATAATTCTTACAACATCACTCTGTGGTAGGCACTATATATCCCATGTTACAAAGGACAACACTGAGACACAGATAGATTACACAGCTTGCCTAAGTTCTTACAACTAGTAAGTGGTGAGTCAGGTTGAACGTACTGTGTAAGACCAGTGGTAATAACTGCCTCTGTGCCTCTGCCTGGTAATCTGTCTGCCTATACATATCTATCCATCAGTCCCCACTGCCAACCCATGCCCCACCCCTTGCACATAAAAATGATTTGAGGTAGCCCAAACATACATAAGGAACAGAAAAACAAAAAGATAGGCAGATTGAAGGGAATATAAGAAGACAGACTGAAGTTGATGTAAAATCAATACAGAGAATTGAATGCTATATGGCCCTATAGAGGTGTTACGAAGCCTTGATCTGACTTGTCACTGTGTTCTATCAGCAACTAAAAGACAGAAAACAAGAGTGAATTTTCTTTATTTGGACTCTTGGCATCTTCATTGTTTTATTCATATAATAATTTGAATTCTTATAAAGAATACTAGTTTTTCATATTGTGGCTGCAAGGAATCTTAAAGATAATTATAGGGGATTGTTATAACTTTCTGACTTTCTTTTTGTGGGTTAGGCAAGTCAAATTGCCATTGTTTATTATTTATTTAAGACGTGAAATCACAAAGAGAATTTTTTAGCTGGATATGGGTTTACATGCTCGGTAAAAAATAGGGCTTGCTTGTTTATGTAAATGCTCTTATTGTAGCAATCTTGAAAAATATATATTGGAAGATTCTGATCTAGATAAAAATAGCATTGTGCTATTTGTTGGAGCTCCCCAAGAACAAAAGACTTTGCCTTATTAATTTTTTTCCTCCAGCATCCTCAGCATGTAAGTGTTCAGTAAGTGAATAATGAATGAATGACTAGTAAATGAGAAGAGTCTGTTAATAAAGTTGTGAGTAATATTTCTGCTTCTTTAAGTAAATCAGTTACTCTGCCCAAAATAGAGAAGTAATTCTTTTTATAGACCCAGCAAGTTGTATGAGGTGGGTTTTAATACCATTAATGGTTGGGCACTGGGACCACAAAGTCCAGCTCTTGAACATGGTGTGTTTGGGGAATCTCCATAACTGTGGTACACCATGGTTGTAAAGGAGAGTAGCAGAACGTAAATCTGACAGGTTCCTAGCATGTAGAAGTTACATTTAAGTTAGTTTAAAGAATGAAAGTTAGACCTAGATTTTGAAGGATATTATATAACATGTTATCTTTAAAAAACAACATTTTTAGCAGAGAAAAGAAGGGATATGAGTTGATTCTAGTAACATTTGAAAAATAATAGATTCATTTCTTACATTTTAGTTTTAAGATGATTTGTGAAAAATAATAGAACATTTATGTTTATTGACTTTATTTTATTTTATTTCTCAGGATGTGATCTTCGTGGTAGGAAGCAAAGTTTTTCAACTACCCCAATGGATGCAGACAGTGATGTTGCATTGGACATTTTAATTACAAATGTAGTCTGTGTTTTTAGAACAAGATGCCATTTGAACTTAAGGAAAATTGCTTTGGAGGGAGCAAATGTAATTTATAAACGTGATGTTGGAGTAAGTATCTGAATTTGGGTATGCATACTACATAGCCTAATTTTATAGTGCAATGAATGATGCTAAAATGTATTTATTCTACAGATCGTTTATGGTTTATGAGCATCTTGCCATCTGCTAATTGTACTGGATATAGAAGTGAGCCTTGTAGAAGCAGCCTCTGCTCTCAAGGAGATGGCAGGTTTTGGAGATACCCATTTATGAGTCTTAGCAAAGAAATTATTGCTTTTACAGGAGCATTTTACTGTTCTCTCAGTTTATTTTAGCTAAAGAAAGGGATCTTTATACTTTCATGTATACTCAGTCAAATATGATTATATTTGAATGATGGCCTAATATATATTATAGTATTTGTAGTATGTTAATTGTCATACTCCTCTTTAGTTAGCCAAGGTAGGTGGTTTTCTTTCATAACAAATTGCTGGAAATAATATGGTTCATATCTTAACCTGGACATTTTAAGTTTTAGTTTTTGTTAAGCCTGTAATACAAGGGATCTTCAAAAAATTCATAGAAAGATTCATATTATCTTTTAATTTTATTTTCCCACACACTTTTTGAAGTGCTCTCTTATTTAAAATAAAAGCCTTAGTATTAATAAGTAATAATAAAACCATAGTATTTTAGACTATCATAAATGACAGTGGGTATTTAATTGACTTTTATAAACCAAAGATTGATGAGATATATATTTTATACATTTATTATGAACATTAAGAATGTATCCGAAGGCTTTATTTAAGCTCTAGAAATTAGATGCCAGTCTACCTGGGCAAAGTAAATTATCATTAGGTTTTAGCATTAGAAACTAAGTAAAGATTATTTCAGTGACTCACAAGTAAAGATTTTCAAGTTCATCAGTAATACCATCTTCCCTTAAAAAAAAAGGAATAAATATGTCCTCTAAGAAGTTTAAAGAGGACAATGCCTAATACTGCTTTGGTACGTTAGCATGACATATAGAAAAGAAGTATTTTTTTCTAAAAAAAGGTTAACTGAAAAATCTGAGTTGATAGACAAGCTGGTGGTAAGACGCAGTTAAATGTAGAATAAACTCAGTCTAGTGTTTTACCTGCGTATGAAATTTTATGGATTTCAGTTAAGGTAAATTTTGAGTCTCCTCAGATTTAATAGCTTCCTAGTTTGTTAATATGGCATATGACAGAGAGAAGGAGGAACTCAAGTCTAACAAAAGTTTTTAAGAGAAATATTCTATTCATTTATTTGTTGTATTATCCAGTAAACATTTCTCTTTTCTTATACATAATGTGTGTGTAATATTTCTATAAATGAAAAATTGCAATGAAAATTTAAATTTACGTATTATCTTGGAGCTTAGTCCTTGACTTGTTTATACTCATTATGTAGATAACTTCTTTCCATTCATAGCTTTAAATGCCTTTTGTATTTAAGGAATCTCAGATTACATCTCTGGCTTCAGTGTTTCTCCTGCACTTGAGATTTCCATTTTGAACTTGAGTATGAAATAGGCCTGTCAACTGTAAGATATAATACAGTGTAGAGATATGGGTATCATGAAGCAGAATAAAGCAGGATTTGTAATTAGAGAGCGATGAAGGATGGATGTTTCGGTGAAATGGTCAGGGAAGGCCTTTTTATTGAGGTGACATCTGGTTGAGAGACCTGAGCGAAGTGACAATATTGAGGGGAGAATGTCACAGATGAAAATAACAACTACTGCAAAGCTTTTGAGATGTGAACAAATTTGGCATGTGTGAGAATCCATGCAAACTCCAGTTATATGACTGGAATGGAATGAGAGTTGAAATGTTTATGTACTTGTATGTTGATTTCATGATACAGTGAGTGATTTATATAGACCTTGTATTTTTAATCAATTAAATATCTTTTTGGATTGTTGTGTTCTTTGTGTTTAGTATTGTACTTGATTTCAGAACGTGTGATTTGAGAACAGTTATTTTTCAGTCTTGGATAAGCTTGGAGTAGTATTTGGACATTAACATGACCACACAGAACAGAAATGTGAAAATTAATGTTTATTAGGTAATTCTATTTTTTTTTTTTTTCCCAGAAAGTATTAATGAAGCTTAGAAAACCTAGAATTACAGCTACAATTTGGTCCTCAGGAAAAATTATTTGCACTGGAGCAACAAGGTAAATGTTACTTGGCTTTTTAATTTTAATTTCTTCTATTCCCCTCATGGAAAAGACATTTTCCTAGACTTAAAAATAAAATCAGGGCTGGCCAGTTAGCCTTGTTGGTTACACAGTGGTGTTATAACACCAAGGTCAAGTGTTCAGATCCCCATACCCACCAGCTGCCAAAACAAAACAAAATCATTTGTAAAGCTTCTTATATTTCTTAGTATAAAATTTATTTTCTGTGTAACTGATAAACTTTTTCTTTGTTTAAAACCATAGTGAAGAAGAGGCTAAATTTGGTGCCAGACGTTTAGCCCGCAGTCTGCAGAAACTAGGTTTTCAGGTAACATTTTCAAAAAATATCCAAACTGCAAATATTCAGGGATTTATTTTGTAAAATTAAAAATTTTAATTTAATAGACTAAAGAAATTACCAAGAAACTCTTCTTATTGGTTGAACTTTTTAAAGTTTTTTTTTATATTGCCTGTTAGTATGAAAATTTAGTAGTAAAACTTGGCCATGTGGGTGTTTGTAATGGATTCTGGCATTTTCTCAAATTTCTTTCTAATAGAGAGATTTGTTTCCTTACAAGTTAATTGCCTTTTCAACTCTTCTTCACTTCTCACACAAAAAATTCATTTTTGATTATCTCAAGAATGCCAGGTCAGGATGATGAGAGCTGTAGAACCCTGTAGATGTGGACACACTGGTTGGCAGGCTGTCACCCCTGTGAAGTGATAATCACCAGCATGTCAGCCTTATCAAAGATAACTTTGTAGGGCCGGCCCGGTGGTGCACTGCTACAGTGCGCCGCTTGGGAGCGTGGCAGCGCTCCTGCCGAGGGTTCGGATCCCACATACAGACCGGCCTCTCACTGGCTGAGCGAGGTGCGGGTGCAACACCAAGGGTTGCGATCCCGTTGCCGGTCCCTGTCCAGTACGGGCGTGACACTGAGGGTTGCGATCCGTTGCCAGTCATGAAAAAAGACAAAAAGGAAAAAAAAAAAAGATAACTTTGTAGAGGCATAACTTTGAGTAAAATTATTACTTATTATGGACTTCCTTAGTCACTTGTAAATGATGAGTGAATGAAAGATAAGGATGAGATATGGTCCCTGAAGAGGAGAGCTAGGCTGGGATTTGGATCAGTTTATAGAAATAGTGATGGGAAGCAAGTTTCTCTCTGAAGTAGAAGGTGACAGGAAGGTACTGAACTACTGGTAAGGGGTGGGGGGCGTTGGTGCTTGAGGAGAGTGGGAGTAGAGAGAGCCTTGAAGTGCACCCATGATTTGATGGCAGTGCCATTGTGCAGAGTTTTCTGGCTTTGCACACCTGCTTTGTGTAAGCACTGAGTTGGAGGATAGTCAGTCAGTCCAGAACTGCGGTTTTAGGAGGAATGTTTGAAAAGATGACGAGATGAAATAATTCAAGATGTAGGTAGCAGAGGCCGAAGTTATTAAGAAAACATTATTTTTGGCCTTGGAGCTCCTTTTCTTAGCATAACATTAGAAGTGTTGAGAGAAATCCCAATTAGTTAAAAACACAATTTTATCACTCTGTCCCCAAAAAGAAACACCTAACAAAACTCACAGAAATGTCATTTTGACTTAATGCATATAAGAAAAACATCTGACTTTTAGAGCCCAATATACACTCTATTTACTCATATTGACTTTTTTTAAAGTGACAGCTTTTCCATTTTAACTTTTAGAAAGAGGACCTTGCTTTAATTCTTTTTCCCTCACCATTCTCTTTCCTTTCCCAGTAGTTTTAAATATCCCATTTAAAGTATTAAAAAATTAAACTAAACATAAAAAGATTCCAGAGGTAATGTTTTAATCCTACGAGTATATCAGGTTTTACTTTTTTTAAATGAAGTTTTTGAGCTTTTTTTTTCTTTAGTTCAATTATAGCTTTTAATACCGATTAACTTATAATACTGAATTCATACTCAAGATGTTTCGGTTTTACCTTGTTTGCTCTTATTTTTAAGGATTGAAACAATTATTAAGGATTGCCATGATGAGCAGATTTTTTTGTTTCAAAATAATTCATTGAGTTTTACTTCTCTCCTAAAGGTAATATTTACAGATTTTAAGGTTGTTAACGTTTTGGCAGTGTGTAACATGCCATTTGAAATTCGTTTGCCCGAATTCACAAAGAACAATAGACCTCATGCCAGGTAAGTCTTGGGATAATCAAGATAACATACCAAATTTTAAATTACTAGTCAGGCTATAAATAATTAATTGTGGCTTTTTTCTGTATAGTTATGAACCTGAACTTCATCCTGCTGTGTGCTATCGGATAAAATCTCTAAGAGCTACATTACAGATATTTTCAACAGGAAGTATCACAGTAACAGGTATTCTATGATATTGAACCAAACTTGTCCTTTACAGATTGAATGATGTAAGAAATTCCCTTACCAAGAATGAAATAATGTCTAATTTCTCCCCTTCATTCACTATCACTGCTCTTCAAGGGGAGCCAGTTTCCTGACTTTTAACAACTATAGATTAGTTTTACCTGCTTTTGTACTATTTGTAAATTTTACAAATACTGTTTTGTGAATGTCCTCTTTCATTCATCATTATCTTAGTGAGATTCATCCATATCGTTCTATGTAGTTGTATATAGATCATTCATTCTCATTGCTGTGTAGTATCCAGTGTGTGAATGTATGTACTGCCCATAGGCATTTGAGTAATTTCCAGTTTGAAGCTATTAAGAATAGTCCAACCCTGACTTGATCATTACACATTGTATACATGTATCAAAATATCACTCTGTATCCCATAAATACATACAATTATTCCATGTCAGTTTAAAAAATATGTGTTAGAAACTGCACATAGTTGGAAGCAGTCATGGGGTTACCACTTATGTTCTGGTGTAATCACGTTAATTGATTTTTGTATCTTGGTTATATTGATTGAAATGAACACAGTGTTTAAAACTTTTTTAAAAAGAGAATGTTTTAGGGGCCGGCCCAGTGGCGCACTGCTACAGTGCGCCGCTTGGGAAGCGCGGCGGCGCTCCCACCGAGGGTTCGGATCCCACATACAGACCGGCCGCTCACTGGCTGAGCGAGGTGCGGGAGCAACACCGAGGGTTGCGTTCCCGTTGCCGGTCCCGGTCCAGTACGGGTGCAACACTGAGGGTTGCGATCCGTTGCCGGTCACGAAAAAAGACAAAAAGGAAAAAAAAAAAAAGAGAGAGAATGTTTTAGTATATATCACCATGATATTTTTTTAAATTTATGATATCTTGCATTTAAAATACCCAAGAGAAACCCATTTTACGAACTTCACAGAAGTTTTACATAAGCAAAATATTCAAATATAATTGGTACCTACTTGTTATGTTATATGTGTATTTTGTTAAGTCTTTTGAATCTTTAGGTATTTGGAAAGAGTGGTTTCAGAATTCTAGACATGCATGTCACAAAGGGTAGTGTTAACATGCGAGATGATTTTTAAAGGTACTGTGATTATAAATTGTACAAAGGCATCACTTAGGAGTGAGGCCCAACCTTATGCAAAATTGAATTAAAGGACATTTCTTTAGTATCCTTAAATTTTGCTTTTTATTCCTTCAGTCATTTGAGGAGAATACAATTTTTTGACACCTTTAGACTTTCAATAAATAAGCTTTAGTTTTGACTCATCCCAGGGGATTTCCATGTTCCCTGTGGCCTTTCAAAGTTTCGAAAATGGGGTGGTAGGGAACAAGTCTGTTTCTTCCTTTCTATCATGTGTCTGTTTCTAGATCTTGGAGCTCAGACTTCTGAGAGGCCACAAAGTCTATTGATAAGTCCCTGCTAAGTATAGAATAAAACTATGCATATGAAACCTTCTGTATTTATTAATAGATAATTAAACACCACAATAACAAACTGAAGACAATTGTCCTGGTTAATTAGTATGCATTATGTACTTAACATCTGGAATATTCTATGAAATGTTACCAATTCAGTGGACACATACTGAGTGGTTCCTGTGAGCAAAGCACTATGTAGAAGGGGTAAGGTGAGTCAGGAGGGAGTAGATCAGGATAGGGTGTGGTCAGTACCTTCGAAGAGTTCACAGTGGGTGGATATGTAAGTTTTCAGGATCTTTCAAAAGTGGTGAGTGAGTATTAGTGATGAAACTATTTTATTCAAAATAAATTTCATGAAAATATTTTACATTACTTTGTATGTTTCTTTTTAGCTATTTAAATGAAAGATTACAGTTTTAAAAAGTTGTTCCAGAGTTATATAGATTAATTCATATATACCATCACCTCACTGTCTTGTGTCCTTTTTTTTTTTTCCTGTTGACTTGGGTAAGCTGTGAGGGCGAAATGACCAGATAAGCAATAAACATGTGGGCCACCAAGTAGTGGTAAATCTGTGGGGGTTTTTAGACCATATGGTTTAAAACAGGCCTCTGATTTTCCAGTGTTTGGGTAGCAGCTTTCTATCAGTCTGCTGGGTTCCTCCATACTCCTGTGGGATTCAGTTGTAGCCTAACCAGAAGCCAGATGACAGCGACCAAAAGCATGGTGGACTAGTCCCATTTGTTGTTCTTCCCTTTCATACACGGATCACAGTGCTTTTTATTCTGCTCCATGATAGTCTGTATGCAGTTTTTTTATATGCTCTTTTTTTTTGCTCCCTAAAACAAAATGAATAGTGTCATTTTGTGCTTCAGGTTTTCTTTCATTATTCAGAAAAAAATTGTATTATCTTGGTCCTTATTATGACTATGTATATAATTATGTAAGTATAGATTTTTTTAAAAGTAACTTAATAATCTGAACTACTTGAATATTTTTAATTCTGGGAAGTCAGTTTTTCCTAGTGCTCCCTTTTTCAGCTCTTCTCACCCTTTCCTGCATTGTGTTTGTTACAGGGCCCAACGTAAAGGCTGTTGCTACTGCTGTGGAACAGATTTACCCATTTGTGTTTGAAAGTAGAAAAGAAATTTTATAATTCATCACTTAATTGGTTAGAATCTCTAACTGAGCACCTTTTAAAACCTGCTGCACATTGGACTCAAAACAAAAGGAAAACTGGACCAATAGTAATTGAGGAAATAGACTCTTTTATTCATTCACGGCTACAGTGTAAGTTCCACGCCCTTTGGATTTTATTTCAGACCTTGCTCTAATATGAAAAGGAAGTTTACAAGACATGACTTTGCTGCTTTTACAAAAGGACATTCTATTTATTTTCGCAGTAATTCTCATGTCCCCCATAAGCAGAGCTGTCACAGTGTGCACTACTTTAAATTGTTTCATTGTTGTCATTTTTATTTTTTTCCAGTTTGAACTAATGTGTTTTATTTGTGAATAGTCTTTTACATTTTTGTATGCTGAATATGGGCACCAAAGAACCTGTAAAAGTTATCTTTTTAATTGAATGTGCACCAATAAAAGTTTGGAAAAGATCTCTTCATATCCATTCTATAACTTTTATTCCCCATTTTCTATTTTAACAAAAATTGTATTTGTAATGCTTTTTTTTTTTTTTTTTTAATCTATGCAAGCTTAGACCTTGGCTAAAGTGTGTTAGCTTCTTTGTGAAGTATATTTTGTATATATGTACATGCCACATGTGTATAGCATCTTTTAATGCTCTGTTAACCAAATATCATATAGGAATTTTTTTCTTGCAGATTAGAAATAACATGTATATAAACTCTAGGGAACTGGAGTAGAACTTTATAGATAAAGGATAATGTTTTATGTTGCTAATTTAATATGATAGAAAATGTTAAATAACTTTTAAAAGTTAAGAAATTGTAGTTTTAAAAAGAGAAACCTCTTACCCACTAGGTGGTTTTGAGAAAGAAGCTGTGATGGGTTGTACTTCCTATGTATGTTTATTATTCTGAAGAGATTAAACTACAGTTGTAGGGAAGGGATTGAGGTTCTTGACTCGTTAATCTTAGGTTGGTGCTCAAGGCTAAACTAAGAGTCTTGTCAGAAGTTGATAACATTGTGCCGTTTTAACAAGAAGTGCCCACAAGCTGCCTCTGTGCCACAGTATAATTATAATATAGTTCAACTTGAACTTGAAAGCCATTTTGTGAGATGTCTTTCCCTTTGCTGTGTCTTACTTAATGGAGCTAAAGGGTGACTATCAGTATGTGGGATGGCGACTCTTAAAGTTATAATAAATACGCATTAATGAAACAGTGTCTCTCTGGCTCACGCATGAGCCCTTGACTGGTAATACAGGACCAAGGCACAGTTGTGCTCCACCACTTAGGTTTAGGAGTTTAATATAAAAACCAACAGTGATTTTACCTAGAAATGAAGAGTCAAATTAGCTTCTCAGTAGAAACTTAATACAGGTAATATTCCAACACATCTTCCATGAAAACCTGAATTACCAAATATTTTGAAACCTTTGTGAAAAACTGCAACATCTTAACCTTCATATTTAGTACATTTTCCTTATCATATTCTAAAATCTTGAAAATGTAGCCGTAGCACTCCACTGAACAATACATTTTTATTTTATGTTTATTTTTATGCTCGTTCTTCTCAATGCTTTCCTATACCCTGCTTCTCACTCCCTCAAAAATGGTGGTAAAGGCTAACTTTTCCATTTTCTTTATTAAGAAAGATTTAATTTTGACTTTTAGACTTTCATTCTCTTTTTTTTACATTTGTGTTTATTTGCTCCATTTTAAGGTCTAGTATGATAGCTAAGCTCATAAATACAGAGAATAAAATTCAGTGAAAGAGTTATAGACAGACTTTTAAAAATTTGAGATTTTTTTTAGTTTCAATTAGCAGTAATAAGTGACCTTCTGTTTTGCAATGTTCATAAAAAAATAAATATAGAATAGGGGGAAAACATTGTATAGCTAAGGTGCAGATCCAGATTATGGAACATTTTCAGTATTTGAATGGCTTGAAAACTGGGCAAATCAGTAGCCTGTCAAAATTTGAAAAGGGGAGGAAAGACAGTCTAACCAGGTCTGGTTTCAGAGCTGCTGTGTGAGCACCATTTGGCAAAGTGTCCATGGGTAATGTACTAAACTTAATAACACTGAGAGGAAATGAGTGTGTCTGATGTCTTCTGCTGGCTTTCCACAAGTACTGTAAATTTTTTTTATATAAATAAAGACTGTGAATATATACATACAAACTAAAAGTATTCCCCCCTTTTTATTTTTGAAAACCAAAAACCTTGATTTGGTTTGGGGGCATGGGTTTTGGGTGAAAACTAGTTTAAAGTCAAAATTGTTAGTTAACAGATTCAGGATAATAAAAGAAAAATATAAGAGAATGTTTAATGAAGTCAAAATCACTAGTAATAAACCAGCTAGGTTTATGAACAATTTCCTGCCCATTTACAATGAATGCCTAAACCAAGAAATAGCTGAAGTGTGTAGTGTTTGATCTTCAAAGGAAACACACGGAACAATTATGTTAAATATCTTACAATTTGTGATGCTTGGCAAAGGAAAAAAGTTCATATTGATAAGCTATCTTGATCTTTTTTTAAATCTTGGCATACAATTCCACCAAAAATTCATAATAAAGTTCTTAAATTGATCCTCTGCAGAACACGCTTTGCCTTCTCTTTCCAAAACAAACAAAAAACAATGCATGCTGTAACTTGCATGCGAAATGTGCCATTATAGAATTAAGATCTCAAATCTCTTTTTAATTTTCCCTTGACAATGTTAATTTAAATATTTCATAACCAGGGCTTTTAGTCATTTTCCTGAGTCTCTGACATTAGTTTTACTATTGCTTATTTAGATTTATAGTCTTTCCACTTTGTTATAAGGGAATGGAATGAATCATAAACCTTTATATCAAACTGGGATAGTTTGTTAGGGGGCAGTAAGAAAATTCCAAGCTAAAAAAAAGGGGTTTTGGCTCTTAGGATTCTCCTTCCTTTAAGTTCATCATATTTTATTCTTTTTCAGGATAGGTGGTTCATGTTTTTCTTACATGTGTTCCATAACTTATAATATTAGTAGTTTAATGGATTACTACTTAAGTGATTCAAGATTCTTTTTTGTGAATTTTTTTAATCATCATATCCAAATTCTACTGGAAAATGCCTTACCAAGTCTTAAAATTCAACTGCAGAAATACAGAAGAGAGCAATCCATCATGTGTGAGTGAAACCCAAGTTGCTGGTACAGTTGGCCATCTCTATGTTTCATCACAGAGAAGAACACAGTGAGGGAATTGTCCTGATGTCTGAATGTCATTTATTAGGTCTACAGTCATCTGAAAGCATTGATCACAGCCTGTGTGCTATAACCTGAGGTAGTGATATTCCTGAGGAGTGTGGAGAATTGCGGAAAACTATGGATTACTATAAATTATCATTGAAGGACTTCCAAGGAGAGAATTTTTATAGGCTTAACTTAATAATAAACTTAATTACTTAGAAATTTTGATAAAGTCAATGACCTAACTCCTTTTTTAGTATTTTACTAACAGCGACTTCTAAAGAAATATGTTCCCAGGATCTTTAAGTTCTTTCCTATTTATTAAAAAAAGATGGAGAAATGCTTATTTTTCTCAACTATTGCAGAATTATTTTAACATTTTATCATATGAAATTCATAAAAGGATAGATATTTTGCATTAATTTGCAGTTCATAATTTATAAAATAAGCTGTATAATCTTTGTACTTGTTGAACCGTAATAGGAATTATCACTAGAATTCTAGCCAGGGGTTGGCCGGTTAGCTCACTTAGTTAGAGCATGGTGTTGTAACACCAAGGACAAGGGTTCGCCACCTGCCAGCCACCAAAAAAAAAAAAAATTTCTAAGCCAGGACCCTATCCTAAGCTAGAACATATATGTGCAATTAAATTGTCCACATTTTGTGTCCTGGTTCTTTTTTATATAAGACCCAGTGCAAGTAGTGTCTTAGTAGGCAAAAACTGTAAGGTCTTGTCCAGACCACTTGTTTGTCTGCATATAAAGCTGCTACTGGCCTTTATATGTACATAGCTTAAGGCAAAGGTTGATCTCATCACTAGGATTTAGTTTTCCAAAGGCTACTCTGAAAAAGGTGGAAAGTACTGAACCAGCCTTAAGTAACCAGTCTTACTTAACCTGATATGCTGCTCAGAATAAAAAGAGATTGCTTGGGATCTTGTATCTCCTCTACCTTTTAAAGTTCCTTTTGGGAAAGAGGAGATTAAAGGTGGTCTTTATAATTTCAGGGTGTCCTTTAAAACTAGCTCCGTGACACTGAGTAGGAAACTTGGGAATGGCAAATATGCACTGGTAAGAAGACACCCTACTAGTGTTCTTATACTGTATCAATATTGGAAGGTTTCAAGGCCATTAGGTCTCTTGAGAAAGCTGCCTTGGTTGTTCCCTACTACAGAAACTTTTACACTCCGAGAGCTGCTCTTGGGTTTTCCTCTTTTGAAGCTGTGTTGCCATTAATTCTTCTTGCTGATGACTCATAAAACAAATGTTGTTTTTCACATAGTTACTGAAAGAGAAAAGGCACAAATGAAAATGTCATTCCTAGCTAACAGTACTTGAAAAAAATGTGCAGGCTATTATTTTTTAAATCACCCTGGGGTTTTAATGTGTTTGTTTTGTTTGCAACTGGCCGGTGTTAATGTTTTATTTATGCAAAAACATTTTTATTGTCAAGCCTTGATGTGTCACGAAATTCAGTATACCACAGAACCTTGGTCAGTCTCATGTAAAGGGTAAGGTGGGGTGTCTTCTCAGAGCACAATCACAGCAGTCCTCTCTTCAGGGAATGATTCTAAGGATAGTATCAAATACAGAGAACTAGTGGAGATTTCATCCCGGATCCTATTTCATCTTTTTCCATGTCTCAAACTCCACTCAGAGCACCTATATTTATATCTACATACTCTGCTTTTTGCATCATCCCCTCATTCTTGTATTCACAAATTCTTTTCTACAGGATTATTCCCATTGGCATAAAAATATGCTATAGTATTTTACCTTTATTAAAAAAGAGAGAGGGCCACCTGTGAACTTCCCTCCCTTTTCAAATATTTTTTCTGTAATTTAACCAATTAATCGGGTGGCCGCACTGTGCCGTGCTATGGTGGGTGGTATGGAGAGTGGATAAAGACACTTGCTGTCAAGGAGCTTACATTTTAATAGGGGAGACAAGCACATAAGTATGTAATTTGAAGTAGTAAAAATGCTAATGAGAAAAGTAAATGGAAAGAGAGAAAGAATGACTTAGTTGGGGAGGGCAACTACATCATACAGGTGGTTACCTGCCCAAAGTGACCTTTGGTCACAAACTGTAATGAGGTGAGGCAGGGAACCACGTGAAGAATTCCAGAGAATGGAAAAGTGGGAGCAGGGAAATGCGTGGGTACCTGGAGGGGATGTGAGGTCTAGGGAGGTTTTTTTTTTTTTTTAAGGATGGGAAATAACTGCAGCTGTGTGTGCGTATATGTGTGTTATGATAATCCCATAGAAGGGGGAAATTGATGAAATCAGTGCACAAATGGAAGCGCTGGCCTTTGAAACAAGGCAGAGAATGTGGGCATAGATGTAGGTAGATTAGTAGATGTGGCAGGAGAATGAGGTGTTCTCTTTATTTCTGTTTTCTCAGTGAACTAAAAAGCAAAATCATTGGCAGAGTGAGGAAGTAGGAGGGAGTGCTGGAAGCTTGACGGGAGAGTACAGGTAATCACCTTGGAAAGTTGAAAAATAATTCAACAGGCAATGTGTAGACTGCAGGGCATTCCTAAAGACCTGCTTGAGGTTTATATTCATACGTTTAAAACAAGACTGGTTAGTATAGCTGTGTTTTCTTCAGCCACATTTAGTTCCATGGATGCAGGGATAAAATAAGCTAAGAGTTGGTTTAGTTGGAGTTAAGGTTTGCCTGAATGATGGAGGGAGACAGGGGAAGGTGAAGGGAGGAGAAGGGGATTACAAAGGAAAGACGGTGGCAGTGGTCGTGGAATGTAACAGGGTAGGGAAGGAAGTGAGGACATGGGTGCTGAGTACTCAGTGGCTTCCAGGGCCTAGTGGAGATGAAGAAGGTTGAAGTGCAGGCACTCGAGACAGCGAGCGGGAGAGAGGAGTGGTCAGAGGGGGAGCGGATGGCTGCGAGGGGAGCAGTGATGGGTGAGGACTGTCTAGGGTGTAACCACCCTGTTTGCTCCCTTCACAGCAGAACTTCTTCAAGGAGTGGACTGTAGCTGATGCCTTCACTTCCATTCTCTCATCAGACCTCATTAGTCAGCTCTGTCCAATCACTCCGCTGAGACTGTACCTGACAAACCTGTGATCACCCCCTGCTTTGTACTTGGTCTGCCCAGTCCCACCTTCCTATGACACTTCTTTTTGGCTTCAGTGATACCATGTTCTCCTGGCTTTCCTCCAGTCTCATCACTGTTTGCTTTTCAGTCCTTTCTGATACTGTCTCTCCTCTACTTGATCTCCAAATGTTGACATAATCCAGAGCTTGGGCCTGACCTCATTCCCTTCTCTGCTTTCTGACTAGATGAACCCATCTGGCTGCATAACTTAAACACCATGCTCCAGCTGATGGGCCCCCACGTTGGATTCTCTAACCCTGAGTGTCTCCCGAATTTGAGACTTAAATATTCAACTGCCTACTAACAACATGTCTATTTGATGTCTAATGGACACCTCAAAATCAATATGTCCAAAACAGGACTCTGTTATCTCCCAAGCCCTGAAACCTAGTCCTGAAAGACTATCTCACGTCCATCCCGTTTCTCAAGCTAAAACCTTAGGTGTCATCATGACCACTTCATTTCCTTACTCCTGCATCCAGTTCATTCATTCATTTCTTCATTCTTTCAACAGTGATCTTCAGTTACATGCCAAGGAATTGGTCCAGGTGCTGGGAAACAGCAGTGAACAAAATACACAAATTCCCTGCCCTCAGAAAATTTAAATGTAGTGGGAAGAGATAGACAATAAACCAACTAAAACATAGAGTGTTTCAGCTTTGGTTAAAACTGAAGTAGGAAAGTGGACGCAAAGCTAGGGACATGACTGATTTTAAATAGGGTAACAGGAAAATTCTGAAGGAGGTGAAGTGGTGAGATGGGTGGATATCTAGGGGAAGAGAATTCTAGACAGAAAACAAGTGCAAAGACCCTGAGTCGAACATGTCTGGTGTGTGTGGGATACAGCAGTAAGGCTAGTGTGGCTGTGAGAGTAGAAGAGTGGAGAGCAGTAGGAAGTGTAGGGCTTGCAGGACATCATCTGCTTTTATTGTAGATGCAGAGCCACTGGAGAATTTGAGCAAAGGAATGACTTGATCATGTTTAAAAGGATCATTCTGGCTGCTCTGTAGAGAATTGATCGGAGAGGTGTGGGGGTGGAAACAGGGACCAGGTAGGTGACTACTGCAGTAATACAGAAAGGAGATCTTGGTGACTTAGTAGCAGTGAAGGTGGTCAGGCTCTGCATGTGTCTTGAAACAGGAGCCAGTAGAACTTCCTGGTAGATTGAATGTTGGGTGTGAGAGAAAGAAGGAAGACTCCAAGGCATCTTGGCCAGAGCAAGTGGAAAAATAATGTTGACATTAACTGAGGTGGATAGGACTGTGTATAGAGTAGGTTTGGAGTATCATGGCTTCAATTTAGGACATGCTAAGCTTGAGAGATATCTGTTAGACATTTGAAAAGAGATGTGAGCCGTTACAGACAAGCTGAGTTTTGGAGAGATACCGAAGGTGGAGACATAAACTTCAGAGTCACTGGCATATAGATGGTATAAAAGCCACAACACTGAGCTCAATCAGCTAGTGAGAAGGATAGAGACATGGTCAGAGGACGAAGCCCCAGTGCATGCCAACTTTAAAGAGAGATGAGATGGAACCAGCAGAGGAAGCTGAGGAAGAGTGACTGGTAAGGTAGGAGACAACCAGAGGTGGGACCCAAAGGCAGTGAGGCAAGTGCTTGAGGAAGGAAGGCATATTCACTTCAAATGCTGGGGGTAGTCACTAAGATGAGGAATGAGAATTGACTACTGGATTTAGCAATTGAAGTGTTAAAAACAGCAGTTTCAGGAGAGTGGTGGTAATACAAATCTCACTGCAGCAGGCTCATGAGAGAATGGGAAGAGCAGAATTAATAACACTGAGTATTAAGAACTCCTTAGAAGAACTTACAAATAGCAGTGAAACAGGGCAAAAGCTGGACGGGGAAATGGCACCAAAAGACCTTTTTCTTAAAAAAAAAAAAAAAAGGGAAACCATCACAGAAGGTTTCTGTGCTGATGAGAAGCAGGGAGATAAAAATATGGGCAGTGCAAGGGTGAGCAGGAAGAATTGTTGGAGAATGTGCTAGAGAGAGGAGAGGGTACAGAGGGGTTGACCTCTCACAGGAGTGACTGAGTTCATGCAGAGAATCCAGAGGGATGGTAGTGCATGTAGAAGGTGGTGGAAGTTCCCTCCCGATTATGTCTGTCCTCTCAGTGAAGTCAGCAGCAAGGCCATCAGTGGGCGTGAGAAGGTGGTGTTGAGCGGTTGTCTAGGAGAGAGGCAGAGCTGATGGACTAGGGACATGTGTGACTGACTGCCAGGCAGCACTGGGCCGCTTGAGGTCTGTGGTCATGATTGGAAATGAGACCCAGCACTGGGATGCCCCTTTCTCATCCTCATACAGCTGTTGACTGCAGACACTCACTGGGGCACACCTTAAAATGTAAATCAGATCATGTCACTGCCCTGCTTAAAGTACTTGAATAGCTTCCTATTGCACTTCAAATGAAATCCAAACCCTCACTCAGCCTGCAACGCCCTGCCCATTAGTCTCTACCTACTTTCTAACTTAATCTCAAAGACTGCAGCCTCCCAGACTTCTTTTCGTTCCTGGAACAGGGCAAGCATGTTTCTGACTGAGCCTTTGCTCTGAATCCTTTTGTTCCCCCATCTTCACAGCGTTGGTTCTTTATCGTCACCCAGATTCTATCTCAAATGTTACCTCTCAGAATAGCTTTCTCAGATCACCCAATCAAAAGAGGCCCCCCAATCACTATCTAATCAGCACATTTTAATTCTTGTAGTAGTTTTTGGCAGTTTTAGGTAATGTTTGTTTGGGTTTGGGGGGGGCTGGCTGGTATATGGATCCGAACCCTTGATCTTGGTGTTAGAACACTGCATCCTCACCAACTGAGCTAACTGGCCAGCCCCCGTTTCAGATAATGTAGAGCCTAGATCAGTGCCTGCCACGTAATACGAGGGTACTTCAAAAAGATCGTGGAAAAGTTTGTATTATCTTTCCACAAACTTTTTGAAGAACCCTCATAGATGTTCAATAAATATTTATTGAATAAGTGAATTTGGATGAATGAAGGAAGGAATGGCCACATCAAAATAACTACTAAAAGTGAAAAATAATTTAAGACTCGGAACTAAAATATTTACAAAACAGTGACTTGTTTGTTTTCTCTATTTGTTTCCACTTAAACTGGGGAAAAGAGTAAATAAAATCACAGCTGAAATAGCAAGTATGGTGAACGTCCCATTTTGAGTTTGTAGCTGGCAGGGCAGAGGTTCAAAATAAAATCCCTTCAAGTTACATTATTGCAGAAATCTTTTCTTCCCTCTAAGCTGAGTCACTGTTAATTTTATAAGAAACTTAACATCCTTGGAAGAATATTTGTTTTCTCAGCTTTGTAGAAACAGGGGTAAAAGAACCTAACTCCAAGTATAAGAGAGGAAAGTGTCAAGCAATATGATGTTAATCTCATATTATAAATAGTTTCCTTTTTTACTTCTCAGAAAAACTCACTGGGATTTCTACATCAGGACTAGTTCCCTGGTGACAAAAGTTGATTCATAATTTTATTAACTTCTCAATTTGTAAAGACTCCTTTAATTCAGCAGTGTCTTTCCTCAGTCTTCAAGTTCACTTCAACTTCTGTGTACCAGCAAGTTCCATGGGCTTTCCACCACTCCACATTTCCTTAGCTAATTTGATAACTTGTCAATACCACTATTTTATTTTTTGTCTCTGACATTTCTCTGGAGGAAACCTTGTTTAACATATATACTTCATACATATTTTGTTCAATTTACATAATTCAGACTCGCTTACATTTTCATTTTAAAAGCCTTTGCCAACTTGCGGCTTTGAACTAAAAAAAACCCCTAGCTCTGTAGTATTGCATAAATAGGAGTTAACCAAGATTTCTAAAAGCAGCCTTTCCTTTCTACCCTCAGTGCTGGGCTTCCCCATGGTACGCACCTAGCAGGTACTGCTGCTGCTAAAAATGACTTGAAAATGCAGAACCGTTTTTGCCACCTTGTCTTCCATAATTCTCCCCATCAGCGTTATCTAGTTTTGTTCTTTGGCACAAACCCTGCAGTACTCATGTAGTCTGTTTTGGGGTCAGCAGTACCTTTGACTTTCGGTCCTCTCCTAATTTGCAACTTATAACTTTCTTGGAGAGGGTATGGATTTAAGTTTGAGTAATTGCATGACTCAAAAGTAACAGAAATGTGATTCTTTGAAAAACATTTCCTAAGTTAGATTTCACTAATTCTTTCCCCACCCAAATTTTGAATTAAGAAGTTTTACTGAGTTTTAGATACCCACATTACATCTTCTCAAGGAGTGTCTCATTCTGGAAGCCCACTAGGTGGAAAGATTGGATTTTCTTAAGTTCTTTCTTCAGATTTTCATTGGGTTTGCAATTTGATACATTCTGACAACCCCGTAGGAAAAAGAGATTGGAAAGTTGCTTAAGTTTAAGTCATATATAACATTCTGCTTTCAAGTTAGACTTTTTTAAAAGAGTACAACAGGGAGTGTTAGTAAAGTAGGCCTTTGGTTTCATTTGATTAGTTCATTACTACTTTCTCCCTGCTTTAATTTTTTAGTTTTGTTCACAAGAATTTTTAAAAGAATTCTGCTCCCTGAATTAGTTGATGGGTAGCTCAAAAGTACATATAAGAAGGGTGGATTTACCATTGAAACCCATGAAACAAGTCATCAAATCAAATGGTGTATACTTTTTAATCATCTGCTAGAAGTCAATATTAACCTAGGCATTGTAGAGGTTACATAAGAAAGAATGGACAGAGAGCATTCCTGGAAACTAAAACTTTATAACCTTGTTAAGAAGGTGAAGCCACAAGACTGCCAGTTAATGTAATATAGAACAAAAGGGGACTAGAAAATATTGAAAATCCAGGAGGAGGTAATGCTCTCCAGGGCTACAGTTACTCAGGACTTTGAGGATGAAGATTTGAGTTGACTCAAGGTATGATGATGTAGGTCTAAATCCTCAGTGATGGCTGTAATGTAGGAATAGAGGGAGAAGTGAGGAGATAAGAGTCAGTGAATCAGGATGGGATCTGAGGAAGAAGATTGTTCCACAGGCGCTAATAGAAAATTATGTGGCCAAAAATTCTTTCTCTTTCGGGCCAGCCCCGTGGCTCACTCGGGAGAGTGCGGCGCTGGTAGCACCGAGGCCGCGGGTTCGGATCCCATATAGGGATGGCCGGTGCGCTCACTGGCTGAGCGTGGTGCCGAGGATTGCGATCCCCTTACCGATCCAAAAAAAAAAAATTCTTTCTCTTTTAACCCATCAAGAGGTTTGCTATTTCTACCCCTTGAATCTGGACTGGCCTTGGGAATTGTACTGAAAATAGAAAGCTGTGGAAGTGATGTGTGAATTCCAGAACGTCAACCTCAAAGGCCTGGCACCTCCTGCCTTTGCTATCTCCGAATGCTGCCCTGGGTCTAACATAGACGAAGCTGTTTTAGCTTCCTGAAGGATGAGAAGCCACTGGAGGAGAACCAAAGCTGCCCTCGACAGCCAGCACCTACTGCCACCTGTGTCTAGGTCCTGGATGACAGGGGCCCTCTTGCCCATGTAGCCATGGGGGAGTCCAGGTGGAAACGAGCAGAGGCACCACCCCGCCAACCCAAAGCATCACAGGAGATAGTCCATTGCTGTTAGAAGGCCCTACGTTTGGGACGGTTTGTTATGCAGCAGTAAGTAACTGATGTGTAAAATAGACACAGGAAAGAATGAGAAATGAAGGAAGACTAATAGAATTAGAAGTCATTGGTGACCTGGAATCTCAGTCCTGCAAAAAGCCTGAATTTATCAGGAATGTTGCCAATTTACAGATGGATATGTCAAATTATCAATGTCTGAGGCCACTAATGATTTGAATTGTGTATTTGTAATTGATAGTCTTGTTCAGATTCTATGCTTACCAGGAAATCCAATCATTTGGCTTCAATCTGCACAGAGCGAGGCAATGGGCTGGTAAAGCCAAGAGTATATCCAGCCTTCCTGACAATTATTATTTCTCATTGTAAATGAATCATTTTCACTTTCGTTTTATTTTTTAAAAGCAGGGTTCCCATCTGCATCGAAAATTAGCCCTACCATTTGATATTCACTTTATGACTTGAACCGAGAGGCTTTTTTCTGCATACTAAAGCAAAATAGTTTTAAGACCTAAGACATTTAAAAATGTATAAAGCACAAAAGGAAAATTTTCCACAATCCTACCTACTATATCCCCTAATAAGCCAGGATTAACAGTTTCTTCAATAGAAATAAATATGCACACATATACCTACCATTAATTCACCTATCGGGTATATTCTTCCTTCAGATAGAAGCTGAAGAATCACTATGCCCACAATTTCTGTAATCATACATTTCTCTCTAATGTTTTGAAAGTATTTTTAAAAGAAAATTACAAACTATAGTTTTCCTCCCATTATATTAAAAGCCAAGAACAAATATTCCTACCTACATTTCTAAGTGAAATGATTTAATCCTGGGAAGAGCAACGAGTTCTCTTTCATTCCCAGCCCCTATGCATCCATCACCTCTTCCCCCAGGCCATGGTTTTAATGGCCAGAGCTACTAAAAGAAAAGGGGAATTTTCTACGACCCACTTCTAAATTAAATTGTTTAAATAGTCTCTACACATGAAATTTATTTTACCAGTTTTCTAAATGCCTATTCATATAAGAAACTTTATCTTCAAATTATTTTGTACGGCTACATTTAGCACAATTGTAGACAGTTAAGCCCAAGAGTTTTTCTGCTAATTGTAGCCTTAACAAGTGTTTAGGGCTCAAAACCTGTAAGTCTGATAGACATGGAAGGGCTGAAGCCCCTGGTGCTAGCCCAGGGTGAGCATGGTATCCCAGGACCTACCCAGAACGCCAAACAAAGGACACCTCCTGTGTGCAGGGGCTGGAGAGATGGGAGAGGTTCTGTGATCATTACTGAAAAGAGCTTTAAAAGGTTCACTGGTTGGAAAGCAATGGTGCTACTTCATTAGCTGAATCATCCAAATTAAAGGCAAGGAAGGGAAACCAGAGTTATGCATTGAGACATGGTCTCACATCAAAGGGAATGTCCTAAAATAATTACGGATATTATTACTTTGTTGCACATAAAAGCTGCATTTTTGACCAAAAAGTATTGTTCAGAAACCAATGCCCATAATACTTACGCTTTTGCTAGCTCCATTGATATCTGTTCCAAAGAACATCCTTTTGTCTCAGGTATAAACACAACAACAAAAAACAGGGATGCCAGACTCATGATTGTATATATAAAGCACACCCATGGCAGGCCAATAAGATCTATAAAGGATAAAAGAAACCAATTAGAAATATGTTTTGTATTGCTTGGATTCCATTTGTGAATAGCCATTTTTTAGAGCATATATGAAGCTGTATGTATTTTCAAACATGCCAGTAGTTTCCAGGAAAATAGGAATCACAAATTGAAAATATAATGAGCTCTGAACATGTCAATTTTACAAACTACCCCAGCTTTCTCTGGTAAGGTAAATAGCACTCTTGTAACTATTACAATTTAAACTTTTTCTTGATGGGTGAGTGGTGCGGGTCAAATATGTCCCCCAAAAGTTCATTTATTGGTATCTTGATCTCCACTGTAACAGTGTTAAGAGGGTGGGAAACCAAATATAGTATTTGAAAGGTGGGGCCTTTGAGAAATGTAGTGGATTGAATTATGTCCCCTAAAACTCCCTGAAGCTTGAATTGTGTCCCACAAGTTTTATGTATTAGAAACTTGGCCCCCACTGTGACTGTTAAGAGGGTGGGAAATCCTACTATGGTAATTAAAAGGTGGAGCCTTGAAGAGGTGATTGGATTGTAGGACTGTGCCATAGTGAATGGACTAAAAGTGGTGGTCAGGGGTGTGGTTCTGAGGGCTTTAAAAGAAGAAGTCTCTCTCTCTTCCTCTCTCGACTTCCACCATCTTGCAATGTGAGACCCCTGGGTCACTGTCAGAACCATCAGATGAACTTTGGACTTCCCAGCCTCAGAAACAGAGCAATAAATTTCATTTTCTTTATAAATTACCCAGTTCCAAGCAACAGATTTTGTTATAAGCAACAGAAACAGACTAATACAAGACGTGATTGGATCGTGAGAACTGTGCCCTCATGAATGGATTAATCCATTCTTGAAGTAATGAGTTATCACAGGTGTGATTCTGATGGCTTTACAAGATCGCCACTTGATACACTGTGTTGCCACTGTACTCTGCAGAGTTTCCACCCAGAAGAAGGTTCTCACTGGCTGTGTACCCTGGAACTTGGACTTCCTGGCCTCTGAAACTGTAAGAAATAAACCTCATTTTCCTCATACATTACCCAGGTTCAGGTATTCTGTCATAAGCAACAGAAAACGGACTAATATAGTGGACATGCCTTTTTCAAAATGGTAATGTATCTTTATTAATATTTAAAAAGCACAAACTCATTGCAAAAAGAGAACCTCAATCAACACAGAAACATATAATGCAGAACGTAAAAGACTTCTCTCTTCTCAACCTCTGCAGTTCCCTTCTTGAGAATTGCCACTGTAGCAGGTTGGTTTCCATTTGGTGGATATTTTTAATGACATAATTGTACAGATGAACTTTTCTTGGAATGAGCTCACCCTTCCTTACTCTGATTTGAATAAATCATTTTATGCTGGCAATATTTCATCATTTTTTAATAACTGGCTGTGTATTTGTAATGCTTCCTCCTGGGCTCAGAGAAAACAGTGATAATGGGTCCAATGAAAGGCATCAATTTGCTGAGATGTGTCAGCAAGAAGTAGGATCCTCAAGATTTGATGGATCTCTCCTGCCAGCCTAGTTTCTCATCTGACCACTTCTAGCCAAACACACAGTTCTTTTGTAGTCACTGGCAAGGTCAAGTTACATGAAGAAGCTGGTGAGGGGTGGCCCCCAATGCCCTTGAATCTGCCATTTGCATTGTGCTAGAGGCCCCTGGCTCTGTAGCAGACAAGATTTGCTAATAGCCCTCGATAGCAGCGGCCACAGGGCATGGTTGGTCAACCAGGAAAATGGACTGAGCTGTTGTGTACTGAGGCAGTTTTTGTAAATGCAGGTAGAATGTGGAAGCATGGTAACCACTTGTCAGTGAGTTGTGCTGAGACAAGAACTGGGAACGAGGAGCAGCACTGCAGTTCTTTGGGCAATTTTAATTAAACTCTGATCTCTCTGGGCTTTTCTTGCTGCTGGCACAGGGTTTTGCCCAGCTGATTGCTTAATAAAATGCTTGTTGAATGGGTCCTTCTTCCCTCCCTGGAGCTTAAAATCAGAATATAGGATTTGGAAAAAAAAAAAGGTCATCTCATCAAACCTGCCCCCAGGAGTGTTTGAGCACTTCAGTAACAGGCAGCTCACCACTTCACAGAGCTCCCCACTGCCTTGTGAAGCAGCTCTGTTAAAAAGGCATTCCCAATGCAGAGCCCAAATCTGCCTCTCAGGAGCTTCCGTTCAGAGGGTCTGCTTTGTCCTCTGGCATGACACACATTGAATCAGCTCTCCCCTTCCCTTCTTCATGACAGCCACTCAAATATTGGAATGCACCCCCGTGGCTTCCTGAGCATCCTCTTGTCCAAGTTAAACATCCTGAACTCTCAACCATTCTTTGCAGAGCGTGGGTCACATGCCCTCATCATCCATGTCACGCTCCTTTGCTGGACACGCTGCAGTTTTTAAACAACCCTCTCAAAATACTTTACTCAGAGCTCAACGCCATACTCCAGCTGTGTCATGACCACCGCAGAGTCCGTTTGTCTATCTGGAATAGTTTGCTTTTATTGACACAGCTGAAATTGCATTAGAATGTTGGTATTCCAGGGCTTGCTGCCAAGTAGAACCTTACACCTTTTAGGCCTTTTTATGCTATACTTGGAAAGTTAATTTTTGAAAATAAGTAGAAAATTCCAAGCATCCCAATGAAATGTCAGCTAAAGGTTTTAGAGCATTCCAGGCTTTTTTAAAGAGTGGATCTCTTTTCCTAACATTTGTTCTTAAAGCCCATGCAGGAGAATCTTCTGAATCTTCATTAGCTCATCCAATGTATTAGCTAAACTTCCAGAGATGGGTCATATTTTTTATCCCTCATCACTTCCAATCTTTCTTTTATATTTCTCCTTCTCCACACCAAACAGCAGATGAACTGTGTGTGTGTGTGTGAGAAGGTGAAGGGCACTTGTCTGTGTGTGTGATCTGAGTAGGAGAGGAGTGATCAGTGCTAATGACCAGCTTCTTTGTTTCCTTCACTCTTGGGCTATTTCTAAAAATACAGGACATAAACATTTGAAAATTTTATATAAAAACTCAAACCATACTTAGTTAGCAACTCCAAAAGTTAATTTTCATAACTGGATGTACTAAATAAATATATGTACATATGTGTGTATGTGTGTATATATATGCACGCTTTTCAGTAAACATCCACTTTTGAAATTTATATATAAATATATATATGAAGAATACACACACACATATATATATATGTAATGAACAAACTGGGTCATCTGTTTCATAGAATTTTCCACAGTCTGGATTTAGTCATAGTTGATTGTAGTCATGTCACATGTCCCTTGTGTATATATACATGAAATAAAGAAAACCCAACTCATTGATCAATTTCAGAAGATGCTGGGGAACCACCTCTTTATTTTGAAAACTAGAAAATAAAGAGAAAGTTTCAAGCCAAATAGCTAATGAGAAGAAATTTCTCTTCAGAGAAGTATCCCAGACAAAAATTTAGAAGGAATGATAGAATAAAAATACTGGATCTGGGTGACAATCATCAAAGGAGGCCAACAGGACAAAGTGGGAGATCACCAGACCTGACGGCAGGACACACCACTGTCACCTGTAAAGGAGTTGCCCACAGACAGGAATATCTAAATCTTTCGAGTCTCTATCTAGATCTAAATAGCAATTTACAGGAAACACAAAGGACAGAGGGCCATGCGACATGAGTACAATCAACAAAATCCAGACTCTGGAAAATTCTATGAAACAAATGACCCAGTTTCTTCATTTAAAATATGAGGTGGGGTGGGGGTTGGGAGAACAGAGATAAAACCTACAAATTACAAGACTTATCAATCAAGTATAAATTACATATTTGGATTGTGATTCAAACAACGTATAAAAAATAATTATAAGACAATTGGAAGAATGTGAACACAGACTGGATATTTGATACTAAGGGGTGATTATCAATATTTTTAGGTGTGATAATGATGTTGTGGTTATTTTCTTTTTTTTTTTTTTTTCCTTTTTTCGTGTCTGGCAACGGGATCGCAACCCTCAGTGCTGCGCCCGCACCTCGCTCAGCCAGTGAGCGGGAACCGGTCTGTATGTGGGATCCGAACCCTCGGCGGGAGCACCGCCTTGCTCCCAAGCGGCGCACTGTAGCAGTGCGCCACCGTGCCGGCCCCTGTGGTTATTTTCTTTAATGTCTTATGTTTTAGAGGTCCATGCTGAAATTTTACAGACAAAATGACATTATGTGTGGGATTGAGTCACAATAATTTGGTGGGGGAAGAGCAGGTGGGGTTATCAATACATTAAGATCGAGAGCTGCTTCATTTGGGTGATGGGTAGATCGGGTTCCCGCCATTCTCTTTGCTTCCGAGTGTGTTTGAAAATTTCCCCAATAAAAGGTTCTCTAGGTGGGTGTTTGTCCTAAGAAGACAAGAGACATGAGAGGAAAACAAAGGGATCTTACCAGTTACAGTCAAAAATGTCAGAGAGATGAGGAGATTGATGCCCCAGTTCATGCTGGAAGTTACAGCCATGGCTCGTCCTCTAATCCCACCGGGAAAGATCTCACTGAGCACCAGCCAGGGCACTAGAAGAAAGGGGAGGGTGGGGGCAGGGGACAGCAAAATGAGCAAAATCCATTGAAACTGAGGCCAGACCACACTGATCTCTCTCTGCCCTAATCCTGCCCGGATTTGTGCTTGGGGAGCACGGATCATTCCCCACCTCAGCAGGACAGGGCAGGAAGGGGATGTGCTTTCTCCTCACCTCTAGCCAAGGGAGAAAGGACTCAGGAGAAGCACTAGGAAAGCTTGACCGTGGTCCCCATGAGTAGGACATGAAGTGCTGCTGTCTGACACAGGCCTGAGAAATGCCAGCAGGGAGTCAGAGGCTGGGGCTACCTGCCTCACAGCAGCAACAGAGCCAGCATTGGGCATCCGCCAAGCAGGGAGCCTCAGTGCCAGGACCCAGCTGCACCTGCTCTAGGCCTGTGTCCTTCCTCACACTCTCCTTTCCCTCCGACCTTGGAGAATGAGTGGACAGGAAATGGAGCAAGGGGGGGGTGAAAAGAATCTGAGTCCTTCTCCTGTTTGGGCTTCCGGACCTGGGGCAAGCTGGGTGGAAAGAAGTTCTAAATGAAATGGAGCTCCAAGATTTGATTTTTATACCAGACTAGATGCTGGAATTTCTGGAAGGAGGCTCTTCTTGGCACTAAAATTGATCAGAGGACTTTTTATTATATGAGAGTGACAGGGAACATTATGGGCCCCGCCTGATGAGATTAGAAAGTGCAGTAGTGGAGAAAATTGACTTGTTTTCTGCTCACAGCCTATCAAACCCGGTTTGCCTAATAACATAGCTACGAGTTCTTACCGTGGGCTGACTTTACACACATTTTTACATGATTTCATTTGATCCTCACAAATCCCTACAAAGTAGGAACTATTACTATGCCTCTTTTATAGAAGGGAAAACTAGGGCTTAGAGGAGTTAATAACTTGCCAAGGTCACAGAGCTCATAAGTGACAGAGGTGGACTTGAGCCCTTGCCATCTCTGGAACTGTGCTTTTTAATCACTGCATTCTCTTGATTGTGGTTCAATAAATATTTTTTAATTAATAAATAAATGTGGTGTGTAAGTACCTTTTATTCTGTGGAAAGAAGGACTTAGGAGCAACCCCAGCCTTGGCTCATTGCCGACTAATTCACTGCGTGTTAGAATGCCAGCATTGAGATACTGACCAATTGCATAATCCTAGCCCAGAGGAGGGGACAGGAAGAAGAAGCTAGAAGCCAGGGAGGGACCCCACTGGCCAGCCACCACTTGCGCTGCCTGTGCCAGGATGGAGCAGCCAGCTGTGTTCCAGTGTAACAATTTGCCTCTAATGAGACAATCATCTCTGTAGAGAAAACACCTGCTTGTAGTAAAGTTGCTGGGGTTTTTTGTTATATTTTGTTTTGTTTTTAAGTTGTTGTTTTAAAGTAAGAAAAAATGAATTGAATTGTAGAAGACTGAATTTTTTTTCTTGATTATCTTCTCCAAGTGGATCTATACAGGGTTACCCTTAGGGCAGGAAAGATAACTATAACAAAAACAACATTATTATTGTTCTAATGAATGGGGAATTCAAAAAAAAATTCCATATTTCCCACCTTTTCACCTCACCTCTCTTCCCCTGCCCTTCCCCACCCCAAAGACCTTCACCAGGTTCCTGCAGATTATGTCTTCAGTGGAATCACTTTTCTCTTACTGAGACTGGTTTCTTGCTTAGGTAACCCTTTCTTAAGCTTTGCAAGATTGAGTAGAATGATATCTGCATAAATCTGGTGAAGTCTTGGTAATGAAAACCCATCCTTGGGCAAATACAAGATAAAATTCTATAAATCCAGTTTTTTAAGCTAAATAATATATGCCACACATGAAACCTATGCCCCTTCCTGCCATGGGTGTTTGACATGGCTCGGGTGGAGCTGGGGGTCCCTTATGGACTTTTGTTTTAGCAGCTCCGAGAAAGAGGTGGAGGGAGGGGCATGCTTTCATTTCCTTTTAGTAGAGGAGTTAGCACAGGTTTTCTTGATCTCTCTTCCATCCCCACATCATCACCTCTCAAATTACCTTCTTCTCCTTTCGTCATCCTGAAGATGGCCTCTTGGAATTATTTGGTGGGGTTTTCTGAGAATCATTGCTAGGCTCGTGAGAGCCAGAGTTGGTTCAGATGAGAATGAGCTAATCCTGCTGGTACAGAAAGTGGTGGATCTCACCAACAAGAGGACAGGACGGTTATATAAAGCGCACACTAGTTATATGTTCAGTCCAAACTGCCAGAGGCTTGTCTAGAAAAACCCAAGGTCCACCCTGCAATACTGTCCTAGGCATATTTTCAATGCAACAGTTGAGCCAAATCCTTGGGCAGCTTAACCAGTCAGTGAGCAGTGACCTGAATATTGAAAAGGAGACTGTCTCTGTTCTTATGGAAGTTTGTTGTCAGGAACCCCTGTCCCTGATGTTTCCAAAAATAAATGTACCATTCCTGAAAACTTCTACTTCTTTTTTGATATAATAGAAAGAATTCAGGAATCGATGCCTTCGTTTATCTATTCTTGATAAACTGAATGTTGGAGTAATTGTCAGGTGTTTTGACAATGATGATTCAACCTCCCAATATGGAACCTGTTGTGTTAAAATTAAGGAGAATATTATCTTAACAGTGAATTCAGAACTGTACAATCACAGGTTTTCAGATCCAGAGAGAGTGAAATAAAAATCTGAAAGTGCATGGCATGGGGGGCAAGATGGAATTTACTGAAAGGGTAAGAGACTTAGGAGCAGGATGGTGCAAGAATCTCACAAGCCTCAGTTTCTCTGGAAAGATGCTGTGAATGTCCAAAGCAGAAGGAATGAAGAAGCTCAGTTTCAGTTCATAAGTAAAGAGCACAGAGACATAAACCACTTCATGGGGATTTAATGTTGACATTTATAAAACAGGTGGAAGTTTTTAAATTACCGATGTTTTCTCTAATGAGATGGCCCAATTTCTCCCAAAGGAAAATCAAATTATTGCCACAAGAGAGGCTCTTTTTCACTGCCACATCAGAAAAGTGGTGGCTCTCTCTGGGCATCCTCTTTATTCCCTACCCTGATGATAGGCCAAAAAGGGACACATTGTCCTATTTGCTTGTGACCCACAGAATACTCAGAACAGAGGCAGTGAACTCTTCTACAGGGAGCATGGCCACTGTAGTTCAGCAGGCCCTGAAACAATTCTCCTCGATTCTTTTCCCACCTTCAACCCTATCACTCCAGGACTGCCTCAGCAATTTGTACTCCTATAAATGTCAGAGTCTGCACATGTCTTTAAGGTCTTCTCCATGCTGTAATGATTGAGGAAATTCTGGACTTGCGGGGTTGAGGGGAGTGGTAATTGTCCACGGATATGGAACTCATATTTCATGTGGTATTAGATCATCAAGGCTGCCCATCAGAACTTGCCTGATCCAGAGGAAATCTGTACACAGAATATTTCTGACTACACAGAGTATCATAACAAGACCATGAAGGACAAATAATGTTGACATTTCTCTGTGTTCAGCTGAGGACATGGAACCGGATTAATAAGGGTACACAATGGAAATGGCAGCCCTACCACATTTAAGTTACCCTGTGTATTTCCTCCCTCCTGTTTATTTCTGGCCACTGCCCTAGTGTTTTCCACAGACACTGTCAACTCACTCACTACAGTTCCAGATTTATACCCTGTGGCTCTCCAGGCACACTTTCCATTTAGCTTGAATTCTTCCTGAACCACCTGGCATGCTAAGCCCATGGTGTGAAAGATTCATAGAGGTCTTGAAACTCTTGCCAGAGAACTGCTGGCAACTTTGGAGAAAGTTCTACACTCAGGCTGCTGAGTTTTCAACGACTTGATTTGCCAATGAACCGTGCCCCATTCTTTGTAGGTGTGAAGCCAAATCCTATGGTCGTTATTGCCTTTTCAAGTAGCATGCAGTATACCTAGATCCCTGGCTGCAAAGGAGCACTTAAAATGTGAATTTGAGAGGGAACATGCCCATACCTTCCAACCAGATGTTTAAATTCTGGCCTCATAAGTTCCCTAAGTGGAAAAAGTATGGCCATCATCTCCAGCACCAGCAGTGACGTGGTAGCTTTCCTTTCTTTTTCCTTTTCTTTTTGTGTTTTCACTTCTGTCTGTCTCCTTGAGTTGTGCCCACTCATGTCCTTTTATAAAAGAAATGCTTTATTCAAGAATACTATCTTGAACTACTTAAATTACAAACTAAGAAAGGCAATGAAATAAAGTCCCAACATTTTCCAGTCTTTCTGTTCTAATGATTTCTACTCAAAACCAACTGAAATGGTTTTTTGAAAAAATATTTTAGGGAAAATTGGACTAAATGGAATAACCCTCAATGAAAAATGCCAGAGTTAAAAATGAAACCCCTTTGTGAGCAGGTACCAGTTGAGAATAAGACAAACTATGGCAGTGGTCTTCAAACTTTCCTGCTCGTGTAGCTTTTAAGATAATTTGAAACCCTAAATATTTTCTTTCATTTATAAGCCAACATCTAACTATTTTTCACCATTAATTTAAATAATAGCAAAGAATGCAATATCAATTATATTTAAACTCCAGTGTTTAAAACAGAATCGTTACATCACTCTTTCAAGTGTTTTTGGTGGAATTTAAATACCATACCTATTTGATACCCCTCATCATTAATTTAAAAAATACAGGAGCAAATTTTACATAATTTTGCATAGTTTCTTTTTCACTGCACTTAGTATTTTATCCTACTGTAATGTATTTTTAAGCTTGAAAGTCTCTTACTGACCATTCCATCATACTTCTCTGGAAAAAAAGATCTTAAATTGAAATTTTAAGTTTATTTTTATTTATTCTAAGAGATTAGAAGTATTTTTTCTGAATTAAGCTAACAATTATTCATACGAAATTGGTAAAACTTATAGAAATATCTTACAAATTTTTAGAAATTATTAAATATGAAAAATGAACACTTATTGGAAATACCACTCTTAACGAGATAGATGGGGAGTTTTTTTTATTATGT